ATATAAATTAACCATGCATATAGAATTAACCATCACACTGGGTCACACAAAAAAGGCAACAGCTGACCCTGTGCCTCACTGTTCTTTATCTTGGTTCTGCTGTTTCATTGCATTATGTCATCACTTCTTTCCTAACCTTTCAGGCACTTTCCCTCTCTGATCCTATCCCTCACCCTACCTTCTGACTTCCTAAAAAGCTCTCTAGTCTTTAGAAAGTGATGTTAGCCATTCACACTTTAGTATACATTTAAAGCTTCTGATAGCTTTCTTACCCATCTTCTCACTCTTAAAGGAAAGCATATTAAGAGCTGAGGAGTTGTGATGTGTGTGTCTGTGTGGGTGTGGGGAATGACTTACAGTTACCAAAGCAAAAGGGACCACCAGATTTTGCAGAAGACAGAACTGAGGCAAACTCCAGGGATCTAGAAAACTAGGGAATGGTCTGTCAAGGGTGTTTCGCTAGAGCAAAGGAGTTCTGGCTCTTTGTCTTTCTCCCTGAGGACAGTCACACTGCAGTTGTTTGGGAGAGTGTGTGATTGATTGAACCTGGGTCCTTTGCTCACTGCTGGGCCACTCTGGGGGAAGGCAGGGCTGAGCATCCTTCCAAGGCCCTGTGAAGTGAATAAAAGGGAAGGGGAGTGAACTGGAGGTTGCAAAAGTATTTATTGCCATCGACTACCATTGCAAGGACTGTTGAGAAGGTAATACAGAATTAGCTCCAGTTTCTAAGGTGACCTTGAACATGAGCCAGAGCAAGGCACAGATGGGCTGCAGAGACACAGGGACAATCTGGAGCAAGGTCTCAGAGTCCTTTCCCTCCTGCTGGACTCCAAGCACCCAAAGAGCAGAGTTGTGTCTGTCTGCACTGTCATTCGTATATCTGGAAGGGTTGTGTGCAGGATGCTTAGTTTTTATCACCTGCAGGATACATAAGGCCTCTTATTAGGGTTAGATATGCTCTGATTACTGCTTATGGGACCCCTCCAGCAAGCTGTTTCTTCCAAGATGATAAGCACCGAAGACATTTCCCCTTGCAGTTGACTTACCTAGTAAAGCAAGACAGACAGACCAGTGGCAGGGATATAAACATCTCTATTATTCTCCACCCTTGAAAGTGATGTCAGATCTTTAAGGGCCAAGAGCCAATGTCATCTGGATCCGGTGACTGTTTGAACAAAATCACTTTGATTTATAGGCTCAAATGAAAAGTAAACAAAAAGATGCAGCTATTAAGTTTATCTAACTGTACCTCTCACTTCACAACAGGATTGGGGTTCAGAAAGGACACAGTAAGGGGCTGGAGAGTGAGTTGGCTCAGAAGTTAAGAGCACTGGCTGGTCTTGCAGAGGACCCGGGTTAGATTCTCAGCACCCACTGGTGGCTAACACCTGTCCATAACTCCAGTTCCAGGGGATACAATGCCCTCTTCTGACCTCTGTGGGCATTGCATGGCAGGGGTGCACTTAACACCCACATGCAGGCAATACACTCATATATGTAAAAATAGTAAATTTTTTAAAAGGACACAGTAGAGGGGTGACAGAGGACAAGAATCTTTTTTTCTGTTGTTTTGTTGTTTGTACAGCTTTTGAAAATTAATAGATTAGAAATCCAACTGGTTTCCTTCCTTTCCTGATAACTCCTGAGACCCACTTATGATAGTTCAACAAAACACAAAGTTCTCAGGTTCAGTGAGAGTTTATAGAACCAACACAAATTCTTTGTTGTGTCCCTGGTCCATCTTGAGCTCACACTCTGATTTGACTAGTTCTTAATTTTAAATTGCTAAGTTCCCTTAGCTCTCCTAAGAATGCTTTCTCTTTTCATGTTGGAGAGAGGAAAGCTAAGCCCTAACAATCCTTATTGTCTTGGGCAAATATGAAGAGAAATATAAACTGGAGTAATATAAACATCTGAGAATTCAGAGGATAGAATCTTTTTTTCCTGCAGTGAAGAAATGGTGTAGTGGAAGGCAACTTGAAGGTCAAAAGACTGAACTTAGGGCTGGGGAAGATGGCTCCATGGGTAAAGTGCTTTCTGTGCAAGCGAAGACCTGAGTTCAGATACCCACATAATAACAGTATGGCAGCGCAGGCATCTCTGTAACCTCAGCCCTGGGGAGGACAGGAGGATCCTGGGCTTGCTGGTGAGCCAGTCTAGCCGAAATGATGAGCTAGGTTCAGTGAGAGACTGTCTCAAAAAATAAGGCAGACCAAGGAAGACATCTCACTGTCAACTTCTGGCTGGTATGCACACACCACATACACAGACTGAACCTAAAGTATACCTGACTGGCAGAATACTTTAAAATTAACAACACTGGTTGATAGATAGGAATGTTGGAGAGAGCGAGCGGCGGGCGCGGATGGAGGAAGGCACCAAGGCACAGATGGAATTCTCAGCGGGACACAGATTTATTTCACACAGGGCACCTTTCCCTCGGGGAAGGGAAAGATGTCAGGGAAGGGAAGGGAAGGGAAGGGAAGGGAAGGGAAGGGAAGGGAAGGGAAGGGA